AAAAAAAATTTGTGATTTACACCAGAAGTAGCACATTTCTTGAGTAACCAAGAAAATTAAATTAGTTTTGTGCTAGAATTAGCAATAGAGTCAACATACAGCAAAAGAAATATCTGCATTCTCTGCAAAACTTCATACTTCACTTGCACAAAATGTATCCTGGACTCACCAGTAAAATAATTCCATTTAGAAGTATTGTTTAGATTTATATTTTAAAATAGCCCAACAGTTTGTGTAACTTGCAGAACTATCTGTGCTTTGAGGCAGGGGAAGGGGCTGGAATCACTGTAAATTGTTTGGCAATATGATAATACTTTACAAAGAGAAAAAGCAGTATCAACACCAGTGTGATAGGCAAAAGAACCATCTTGGGAAGATTCTATAGTTTTAGAAAGGTGGTTTTAAAAAAGAGCTGCTTCACAAAAATCAATACACTTTCCCCATAGGTTCATGATGTAAAATTCTAAAATCAAGGCTTGTAGATTTGTAATTATGGTACGTCAGCCACATTTAAACAAGAGTGTTAAGAGATTGTTAAAGTTAAACTAACACAATTGCAATGTGAATTGTCTTAGTCTCATTCTAATCTACTGGTGTCACTTCCATTTAATCACATAGAAACTATGGGCAAATGTCAGTGCAATTTTCAAATGACCCAACTTACTTTGTTTGCAGTAGTTTTTAAAATCATTGCCAATCTGAAATGAGAATAAGATAGTTTTTAAAGTTGTTTTTCTAATCAATTCCCTCACTATTGAGCAGGTTGTCTGAGTTTGGATTTACTGAGAGTCAGACTATTTTGAAGTGATTAAACTAGAAGTATTGCTTGTTAGGACATAAGCCACAAATACAGACATTATTACACATGCTCATCAAATCTACCTTTTTTTTTTTTTTTGAATGACAAACTAATCTAAGTATGCAATCAACAGAGGCCTGGCCATCAAATTTTTCAAAAAAAGCAAAAGGTTCTCCCTGTTCCTAGTTTAAGTTTACTTCACTGACACATAGCAATGTAAGAAACATGAAGGCAAGTAAAGTACTGATGACCTAATATATAATCTCTTGAGAGGGGTACACAAAGAATTTACAGTATGCAGCTAAAAGAAAAATCCCAAAGCAGAACAGCAGCTTTGTTCTTAGCTTGAAAAAAGTGATGAGTTAGGTAAATGAGAGAAAAGAATGTGCTACAGCAGATTAAAAAGAGACAAATTAAATGTTGAAAAAGTTCAATACAATCTAATGGTTCTTGACCCTTACCTTTTTTGATATACAGTTATAGCTTGAGCATTGCGCATGCTTGAAAAATCAGTATTACAGCTAAATTCAGCATACTTTTTTAAACTGCAAATGCAGAAAAAAAAAAAACCTAAGGAAAAACTAACTGAAGCGTTAAGTCAGTCACTTTATGGCATCTTTAATAAACCTCTACTTCATTCTTACCATATACCAGAAACAAATACCTGTATACTTGTTCTGGTCCAAAGTAAGAGGAGAATGTTAATGTTCCTAAGTTGACTCAAGTCACATGTGTGCCCGCTGTAGTAGAGAGCACATAACTAGGCTTCTAGTTGGAGAAGGAAGGGTGGAGTGGGAGAGAGCCATATTACTTCTTGTATCTGTGTGCAACCCTCACAAAAGAGAAAGCTGTTGCTGTATCACCTCCCCCACAGGGAGCGTAAAATAACATTCCTTTTCTCTTTTTTTTTTTTTTAAGTTACCTTCACTTACAGCATTCCAGGGTAACTGCTGCAGAGTAACCGTAAATGCACACACTGTTACCACACAATAAACACAAGCTAAATTTACTTGCTATTCACTTAGTCATTCTCCAAAAGCAAACCTGCATTTGTATAATTTCCGCAAATGTTTCATCCTTTTCTTTGTACTGGCCCTGAAATGTGTACAGTTGTGTGGTGAGCTGGTCCAGGCAGGCTTCATCCTTCAAAATATTTTTTTCTTTAGTCGTTACTTTTCAGTGGATCAGCTCACTGAAATATACAGATAGATGGCCACCCAAGTCCTTCTGCAGGGCACAAAGGAGGAGGATGTAATGCAGCCCCTCAGATTTAGATTAGCTTAAACCATCATGGACCAACACCAAGTCTCCTGTCACAAGTGGCAATTGTTTCAGCTCAGAGGAATGCCCACCTACATAGCACCCCTGAAACACACTGTAACTAGCTGAGCATTGTTTTTAAGAGGCCACAGAGTTTGTATTAGGCTCTCAAAACAGTTCTCAGTAATAGTCAGACTTTGCCTGGACTTGTCTTGGCCAGCCTAAAGCTTTTTTTACCTTTTTAACTGCTATTATGACTAGGTGACAATTACCTGCTTTGTTTCAATTTTTACTCAGCTTTGTACAATCATGTGGTATAACACTATTGTATTGATTTTTGTTACTAACAAAAATGAGCTATCTCTGATTTAGAATAAAGTAAAAAAAAAAAAAAAGCAGCATAAAAGATCAAATCTGATGGGAGCAGAAACATAGAATGATAGCAGAGCCCTTGAAAACACAGGTACAGGAAGACGCTGAAACGGCCAAGTGCTATAAAGAAGTCACCAATAGTCAAATATTGATGGAAGGAATGCAACCCTGAAAGATGGCTAAAACCAGTTTTAGGATAACAAAGAAAAACTATTCAACACATGTAAAGTACACCATACACAGTAAATCTGGATAAAATGTGGAATGAAAAACAATAAAGAAAAACTAAGATGTGGAATTTTATATGCATTTCTAAATGCAGACTCTCAGAAGTACAAAACAATCAACATCATACTCCTCTCAACAAGGATCTGGGATGCTGCTGACTTGCTTGAATCTGTCCCCTCCCCACTGCCAAATTGAGGTAGTGCCCTTAGGACCCAGGGGCTCGCAAAGAGGCAAGTATAACATCAGGGAAAGGGTGCTATTAGAAACAAAGTAGAAGCATTAGAAACTTGTGTATGGCAAATTTGAGTGTATATAGTTTGAATTGTGCTAGTATCATTGGAACTGAACTAGTATTCAGTTGGATATTAGGAGCCTTCTCTCATTTGGATCCAACAAGCTTGTAATAAAATGAAAACCAACATCCATGGATTTCCATAAATCAAGTGAACAAACAGAAAAGTCACACTAAGCAGTAAAGAAATTGTTCATACATGGCAACAAACACTAATAAATTTAAATCTCTTGCAGTTCTCTCAGTTTAACTTAAACTGTAGAAGAGAAATGGAGAAAAAGAAAATGCAAGCTAATCTCTGAGTTAGAAGCACTACAGACAGTGGCATACAGGCACTGAGCTAGCTCCACGTGCAGTTATCTGCATAACCACACTGGCATCATTAGGCCAATTCCAGGTCCAACAGGAAGTAGCCACATAGTACAGCATTTGCCATGTGCACATGCAGGCCTGCCCCAGCTCTGCTGCGGTCTCCACACAGTTGCTCATTGTGAAGACTTTACCAATCTATGAACATGAGGAAAAAGCTTCTTCAGGTAACTTTGTGATGATTTATCATTAAGCAATGGTTACCTGAAATGCTAATCAGTATTACTACAAAGTTCTCTCAGGAAAACTATCAAAGAGCAATAAGGCAGTAGTGAAAACTTCTACAAATTACAAATTCTACAAAAGTAAAATTATGTCTTATTAGATACAACAGCTTTCTCAAAAGCCTCTAGAAAAATGTTACCTTTGTAGCTAACAAAAAGAATACACAGACTGTAAAAATGTTAACTTCAGTAATTCTAGTTTCCCCAGACCTCAGAATACTTTGTCTATAAAAACCGACACAGAACACCATACACTTAAAAATGCACAGAGGACATTTACAATGTTACTGTCCAGCAAAGCCAGTAACCATAACATAGGTCATGAAAGGGACCCGAAGCAAAAGGCAGTCACCAAGCCACTCAGTGAGGCTGTCCTCAAGATTTCTAGCTTAAAAATAATACACAAGTTCATGATTTGCACACCCTGCATAGTGACAGGAAACAGGACCTTACAATCATATAATCCATTTCTTGCTCGTAGCAGTGCTTGAGAACTGCTCCCCATTTGGAGACTAGGGACTCAAAAGTGCCTTTATTTAGCACAAACAGAGTGATAAATCTGTATCCATTTTACTTTTCCAGTCTTCAAGTCCCACCTTTCAGAGGTAATCAGGTATTAGAAGGTGTGCCCATCTTACTCTTACCCTTAGTAATTACTAACTGAAATTAGGTAAAAAAGTTAGCTATACAAAGTTGATTGCATGAAACTGGACTACTTAACACCCTGATCTGGCACACATACTGATTCCTGTCTCCGCCTGAGCCAGCCCAGTCTTTGTAGGGTGTTGCCTTAATAAGCCCCACTGTGATCACATATTTAACATCAAAGCCTTGTGTTTACAGTCATAAGAAGAGGGATTCAGACAGATAAACTGCAGGGGCTTTTTGTTTTAAATGAAGACTGTCTTCAAACTAGGCAAAATCGAGACTCAGGTGACGAATTTACCGCCGGTTTTGCGGTGTGAACTTTCAAATCAGAAATAACCCATTCAGCAGTTGTTTCGGTAAGCCAGGTAAGACTTCATGCCTCGGCCAGGTCACCGGCCAGACTGCCCCGTACGCTGACGGGGCAGCACGACTCCCGCTGGCTCTCAAAGTCACTCACGAAGGAAACCAAAATACCCACCCCGGTGCCGTCCCGGGGAAGAAGCGAGGCCCGCCGCCGGCGGCGCTGTGACAGGGGCAGGAGCCGGCGGCCGCCTCAGAGCTCGCGCCAGGGTCGGCCCCACCCAGCGCCCCCCGGCCCCGCAACGCGCCGAGCCCCGCCGGCAGCTCCACCGCCCTGCCGAGACACCCACCCACCCACCCACCCACCCCGGGGGGCCGCGGCGGGGCTCCCTCCGCGCCCCGGGCGGCGGGGGCTGCCGGCAGGGCTCGCGGCGGCGGCGCCGGGACCGCGCTCGGCCTCCCCGAATGGCTCCCAGCGGCCGCGGCGCGGCGGGACGGGGGCACTCACCGCCTGACGACGCCAGCCTTGATCTTGATCTTCCTCAAGCGCTGGTCGGCCATAGCGGGGCGACGGGGAGAGCCGGGCCCCACCGGCGCAGGTGCGGCGGCCTCCGACCGGACGGCGCAACGCCCAGACTGCGCAGCGCGACACCCGCGCATGCGTCAAGCCGCCGGCCCGGGCGGCACCACGGGGAGCGGGGGCAGGGCTTCGCCCTCCGCTTCTTCCCCCTTCCGCGCACACACCCTCCCCCCCGCCCCCCTGCCTCCCGGCGCAGTGGAGGCGTCCGGGATGGCGGGGGCGGGGGGATGGTGTTGTGGCGGCGTCCCCATAGCGACCGGCCGGGCCGGGCCTGGCCTGGGGCGGGCGCGGAGGGGCCTGCGCGGGGTTGCGGACCCCTTCGGGCGGGCGGGCCGCCTTCGCCATTTGTTCGCAAGCACGCGCAGGCGAACAAAGTGTGCCTCCACCCTCGGGGTTTATTCTGAGGTAACGTGACGGGTGCCGAGGTGGTGTCGGGGGGTGGGGTGTGACTGGTACCCCCCCTGCGCCCGACCCCGCCAGTGCGCTCAACTCAGCTAGACCCCTGGCCACCAGCGACGCCCTCCCCACCCCCGAAACCTGATGCCTTTGGGCGCCTGGCTCCTTAGATGGCTTTCGAGCCTAGATTATGATTGTTATACTGATTACAGCAAACTGTGTATTAAGATCAAACCCGATCTACAGAGGGTCCAGGTGGTGAGAAACTGTAAATTTAGTTGTGTTATAAAATTCTGTATGACGCTACTTATAAATTGTACTACACTGATGCCACTTGTAGAAATCCTGTGCTGTGCTAGCCATAAATTCTGTGCCACACTAATGATAAAATCCTGTCAAGAAAATACAGGTTTAATTGTAACTACAACTTACTGCCATCATCATTCTGCCAAGGATCTCTAAAAGAACCTGTCAGTCCCCTCAGTGTCAAGTGACTGGTAGAAACAAGTAAAGAAGCAACACTGGCGCTGGCAGCTCAGTCCTAGAGTTATAAACAACTGAAGATTTAGGGCTGTTTTCCTTCATGACTATACTTAAATTGATGCTAACCAGTTAAGGGGACAAATTCTTGAAAAAAAGCACCTTTGAGTGTGTTTTTAAAAGAACTTCCCAGCAGTGAGCATTTAAATCACTAGGAAGAACAACAAAAAATAATTTAAATAAATAAGAAAGATAAATATAGTTTCAGTGGAATATAGTTTGGGAAGGCCTGCAGAAGCCTTCTTTTCCCCACATCCTTTTGTTCTGTGTTAGTCACCGTCAACACTGCTAGTGACCAGTATCTCTTGAGGAAAACTGGCTGCGAGGGAGGGTGTCCTGTTCCTTTAGGTGACACGGCAGCAATAGGTCATTAGCCAGCAGCCGTGGGAGTGCGGCTGGCACCACTGGGCCCCGTTCAGACATGGCATGGGGAGGGCCAGGGCCACTCAAGTCCATGGAGTTGTGTCTTATCTGCAGAGGAGGGCAAATGTGACCCCTGTGAGAGAGCCCAGCAAGCCTTCCTGGGGAACTGCAAGCCGGACCAGCCCAAATAGCCTTGGCTCAGCAGGTTGTCCCCACAAGGAGATGCAGGTCTCAAAATCAACAGCCTGCATAATCCCATAAACTACTATGACCTGGAGACAAAAATGTATTATGTAACTGATACGCAAACCTGCCATCACCTGTGCAGGAAGAGGAGGAAGGAGACAGCATTCTGGCAGGCACAGGGGAAAATGCAACCCCTTACTTCAACAGAAACTCAGAGCTTATTAATCTGGCTTTAGAAAGCTGTATCAAGTCATGCTGGGGCTGGAGCAGTTCTCTAAACAATTTCATGGCAGTGTGATTACACTACATACGTTCTGAAAATACAGACTGCAGCAAGGAAAGCTGCATTACCACCATGCACCTACACATCAATTATTTTTTCAAAAGTAGTCTTCAATGTCATTTCTACATTTGACATAGCTGTTCTGTAAGTGAGAAGGCCAACAACAAATGACAGTACTAAAATAAAAATTGCCTAGAAGTAGCAATATTAAGAAAAGTAACTTATGTTTCCAAGTGCTACAAATGTTTTATTTCTAGCCCTGAAGCACTACCTCACATCACTGACAGTGTTTAGGATCAGCTACTGAATTTTAGAAGTGGAATGCCATTGTTTTCTTACAGCTAATTCAGATAACTAAACAGATTATAATATACCAAACCTGAGTTCATATTTAAGCATATATGTTGATAACTTGCAAAAAGGGTTACAATGTGCAGTGCTTTCCAGGACAGACACTCCTTTTTTAATTGAAGGGGGTTTTTATTTTTTCCAGGTCTCCTTTGAAACAACGTCTAGCCTAAACAGCCATAAATAAGTTTCCATGTGAATTAGTGACGTTACACCACAGTTGAATACACTCTATTATGAAGACTCTGAATCCTATTGCACCTTTTGAGTGGTACAGAAACTGTTGATTCTTCAGTGAATTTTGGCAGCATTCTGCTTGTGTTACATCTGGTTGAAGGTTTTTCATAATCATTTCTATTAGCCCCAAGTCATTATGCACACACTGTTACATAGAGGCAGGTGCCTAAACATAATTTGCTGATGTTCTAGCTATTCTCACTTATGGAGCAAGTCATTCTGTACATGCAACCCTTACACGTATCTTTACATATACTCCTGTACTGCTCCTTCCCAGCATCTCACATGTAAAGCTGCAGCTGCTACGAATACAACTTCGTCTCCTCTGACTGGTGTCATCCAGTCATCTCAGCTTTCATTTGGCTCCACATAAGGAATATTTTCAAGTCAGTTTGTTACATGTTTTGGACAAATTACTTGAGTGGGTGTAATTGTCACTGCCAATGTGCTATGCCTTCTGTTTGAAAAATCCAGCTAAATCTTGTTTATTTCTTATGGATAAGAGCACATGTGGTGATTACTGCTCATTCCTATTTCACTTGAGAATGAAGGACTGGAAGAAACTAATCAGCCTGATGAGCTCAGATGTCTGCACACATAAACAATTATGTAATAGATGTTTAATCTGAAATGTTCAAAGTGCACCAGGCTGCAGAGTACTTCCTAAAACTCGTAACATTCCCTGTGAAAGACCAGCTTAAGAAGTTAATGCTGCACATATGCTTTGTCACAAGAAAGAGCAGACAGACTCAAAAGCATTGCAGTGTGCCACCAGTCCCTTTGATATTAGCAATTCCAAGTTAATATGTCTCTCAATTAAAGACTACCCTTAAGAAACACACATTTTGTAAGATGTGCAACTAGTAAATCTCATTAATCCTGTATTCTCATCATATCCCTCCCTTTTAAATTCATTTCCTTGTTTTTTGTAAGGTAGTTCCCGAAATAACAGGGCTCTTGAAGTGGAGCTGTTTTGTGTTACACCACTGGTTCATTTGGCCTATAGAGCTAACAGGTTTGTCAGCTGATATAGTTCAAATTAATGGTATTATGCCACTTCCACCTATGCTGCTAAGGTCAGAGTGTGCCTTGCAGAAGGAGGTACAGTCACCTCTAAAGTCCACTAAATCCCAGTGGCAGTTTCCATCATCTGATCCGTTACCAGTTGATTTAGACAGCTTGAAAAACCCATGGTCATGGCAGTGCCAAATGTACATTTGCTTCAGCTGAGGACTGAGACTATTACTTTAATAAGTAAATGCTCAATGAGCTTTTATACTATTTTGTTTATCCATCAAAACCATCTGTGCAGTTTGAATATAATTTCATTTTTGTTTATGATAAAACAAAATGTGGAAATTATTTAGTCTTCAAATTTTATCTGTTTTGTAGGAAAAACAAATTTCATTCAGCCTCCCTAAAGGCTACTGCATAAATAAGATTAGATTTTGAATAAAAGTTAGTAGTGTCTCCTTAATTTTTTTTTTATATATTCAGTAGATAAAATTAACCTCTGTACAGCTGGCCAGCACAAAACTAGGCACCATTTAAGAGCACGAGAATGAATTTCCCTAGTTGTGATCATACAACATAGTGTCAGTATTCCTTGTAGTGTAGACCTCTTGAGCCCCTTTCTTATCAGATGATCATCACCAATCAAAATTTTCTTCCCCAAATATCCCTGCAAAAATGCTTAGAGAGTTGCTCAATGCCACAAATACAGGCAAGTAGGGATGGGACATGGATGAAATGGGTTGCAGTTGCAGGGTTTGCGAGATGATTCCTGACTGTGGTGTATCAAGTGGGAACTGTATCTTGTTACAGGAGAGGCTTGATTGCTTTGGGAAGTTAGGTGAGGGAAGAAAGAGTCACCAGGCAGAAGCTGAAAAGAACTGGAGGCAAAGTCTGTTCCCGTTTCTGCCTTTGTGCCTTCTCCAAACACCACTGGGACAGATTCTGATTTCATCTATGCTTCTGTGAAAAGGAAGTAGCCCACTGGGATGCGGTGGTATAAAATCAGGAGACCTACTCATCTTCAACAAAGTTATAGTGACAGTACAATTTACCCTAGGTAGAGAAGGCAGCAATGGTGGTTCCTCAAATATTACACTACTGGGGAGCGCAGGGTACAAAACAACCCTCTCATACAGTTTTGAGGGTTAAACTGTACCTATAATAAATGCTAAGCCACAGTTCAAACCTTTTTAGCTAAAGCAAGGCTTTTTTAAAAGCAGTTTTCCATAGCTCAGACCAACCATTAGGTGAAGAGCTGGAAGTAGTGTGAGAAAAAGGGATTTATGTGCATGCATCAAAAGGAGAATATATCCCTTTGCAAATGATTTCCATGGGTGCCCTACTTACAAATGAAGAGATATGTGATATAACAATTCATTGTTCTGACACACATTACAATCATGATGTGCAGTTTTTAATGCATCGTGTTACATTAAGCTTAGCCCATGGTCTAACACCATGTAACATAAATTTCTGTGAAGGGAGTAACATAACATGATACTGTCTTTTAAAAGACACACACGATTTTTTCAGATCACCTACTTTTTATCCATGAATGCCCAATCCAAAAATCAAGGTGGCAGATGAAAGTGGAGTGAATGAGTATCCACAAACCAGAGTATTTATCTTGTGTAGTTTTGCTCATTGCTACCTGTAGTCAATGACTCCAGTCAATTTTTATGTTGTAATGCATGAGCAAAGTTGATGGACATATTTTTTTGTCACCCC